TACAGTCATAATTTCTTGAATCCATGACCTTGTAAATATTTCACATATCTCTTACTGATTTTATATGGATGTTTACTGAAAACACACAGCAACTATTTTTGGATACTAAAGTTGATTCTAACAATAGGTTTCAGAAAACATGCTTGAACCGCTAAGACAATGGCCGTTAAAGATTTTCAATCAAGATCTAGTATGATGTAGAGATTAAAGTATTGGATTAGGCCTGGGAATACTCAAATTCAAGTCCATTCTGAGCCTCAAAAAGTTACTGGGTGACTCAGGCCAACCTACCACACTGCACTATTAAGATAAATTGAAAAAGGGACCTCATGATAATCACTCTGAGCACCTGGACAAAAGGGGGGATATAATTCTACTAAATAACAGTTAGGAAATTGAGGTAACACCTCGTTCTACCCAGATCAAATATGAAAGTTCATAATTTGCTGACTTACAAATTACTGCAAAAATCACAGCTATTCTTTCTAGGCTGCAAAACTCCATACAACCACTAGATGGCAGCAAACCCGGGCAACCTTTGGTATATATATTATCTAGGCGCAGGGGTAGGCAACCTTGGCTCTTTTATGACTCGTGGACTTCAACTCCCAGAATTCCTGAGCCAGCTATGCTGAGGGGAAAGGGAGAGGTTTCCAAGCTGAGCCATGCTGGCTCAGGAATTCTGGGGGTTGAAGTCCACGAGTCATAAAAGAGCCAAGGTTGCTTACCCCTGATCTAGGGTGCTCTAGATTTTTCATTACAGAAAGGGTAGGTTTAACAAAATATAAAATGTAAACAGCAAAATCCATATACTGAATTATATAATATATAGATATTTTTACTTCTGTTTTAAATGCAGCTGATTTAACCAACCATTAGAACCTGTATTCCAAAAATGTAAATATGGATTTCTTGGAAAATTACAAAATACAGTACCTCATTTTAGAATCAGCTTCTGTACACAATACCAACAGCTGTTCAGGATATAAGGTGTAGCAGCTTTTAAAGGACCCAATACAGGTTAATGGAGATTGCACTATATGTGTGATCGCTCTACAAACCCAGTAATCATAGCAGCCAATTTCAGAGACAAGGAAAATTCCAAATTGGGAAAAGGAAGAGAAACTAGGCTGTTGGCTTACAAAAAGCTTTTAGCATGAATGGCCCAATCCACTTTACTATCTCTTTCTTGATTCCAAAAGCATCTTGCAAATCAAATCTGTATTTCACAGCTGGTTCTCCTGCATACAAAAATAGCAGCACTGATGCCTCTCAGAGTTTTGCTACAGAGATTAGAGCCAGTTAAAGACAAGAAGGTGAAGTACAGAGAAAATGTTTCTGAAAAAAAGACTGGATGAAACATGGGTTTCTACCAGCCCCCTAGACTCACATAAACTAAAGTTTCCCTAGTTGAAAATATTAAGAACTGCAATCACCATCACCAGAATGGCTCTGACTATATCTTTTTTTTTTTATCCCTTTAGGCATGAGTGCTGCCTGAATTACTCAGATAAAACCAAACTGTATTTTTTATAGTAGCGTACTTAGAATTCAAACTGAGAAGCAATTTACTCCACTAGATAAAAATATTTATTTATAAGAAATCATACGGAATGGGAAAAGTAACAAGAAAAATAAATTTGTTCAGATACAGGGGGGGGGGGGGAGTTTGCCCTGTGGTAATGCAAAGATGGACTTACCAGATTTATTGATCCATTTGCTCAAACGTCTTGTTCAGATCATTTTAGTTTCCCAGATGGCTGTGGTTCAAGATCAGTATCAATTTGGGGTTAATCCAAAATGGCATTAAAAAAAAAAAAAAAACCAAAAGAGAAAAGATCTATTGGAAACTTCCTCTAATCCTCCTTCCTTGTTTTAAAAAATTCAACCTCTGGAACTGAGTACAGTGCATCTATATTCCCTCCCTCCTGATGTAGACAGATCGCCTTACAAAAGATGATTCAAGGCAGAAATTAGGAAAAGCCAATCAGAAAAAAATGTATTCTGAGATTACTGCTCCTAATTGCAGTGAAGCCTTATTGGAATTAAACATTTGTTAATCCTTTTGTTAAGGAAAGACAGGAACTGGGAATACTACTGAAATATGGTGGATCGTCTGCAATTCAAAGTCATGGAGTCCCTTGCCGACCTCCTTAATGATTGAGGGATCAATGTGATTCGTCTGCCAGGAAAAGGACATCAGTTATTGGCTGCTAATGGGTGCACGAAAATAGTAACTGCAGAGGAGTCCCTGTGAAATAGAAGGAAGCTACCTTGCTTCCTCTTAATGCTCAATGTCTACTCACTGTCCGTTGCCCATTCCTGATGGCTCCATGAAACCAGTGATCTGTGTGATCTGCGTCAGGCTTAGGAGGAAGGGATGGGCTCATTGATCACGGCCCCACATTATGATCAAGATCGCTGGATTCCCACTGCCATTAACCAGTGATACTTCACAATATAGAGCAGAATTGCTAGGGAAGGATAGTGTGTAATATGTTTGAGTCCGACTAGGTATATAGTGTATTCACACAAGGGTAATATACGTATATATAACACATGTGTCATCCCTGGCACATAACCAAGCAACTAAAGAACGCTTGATACCAGAAAACTTGTCCAACCCCTACTAAAATCTTTCTGAGACTCTAATTATTAGCTAAACGTTAACTAAACTAGATGAAAGTGTAGGAAGTCTGCCAGTTTTTGTCCCCCGGTTGACAGGCAGGGGGGAAAAAAGATCCATTTAATGAATGTAAAATTAGCTTTGTAGACTTTTGAAATGATTTTTCTTTTCAGTTTAAAATGGAGGCACTAATGAACAGCTCACCAGTATTAAGTGGGGTTCATCACATACTCTTTAGAGGCTTTGATTATATTTGTGTGGGGATGAATGGGTGTTCCTGAACCTGCTATAATGAATAACAGGGTGAAAATCTGTACCCAGTGGCCACTAAACTTTAAAAATGGATTTGTATGTTTCTAAGTTATCAGTCTTTGTCCTACTAATTTCCTTTCCCCTAGATTGGATGTCTTTATTTATGGTCTTAAACCAGTAAACGTAAGTACAAGATTTAGAATCCAATTCTGAGACAATGAATAATAATGAAAGGACATTCTCCTACAATATTTTAACAATCTTATCCACCATTCTTACCCACCTGTGCTTTTCAATTTTTCTTTTACATTCTCCAACAATTATCCATGGTTATCAAAATGAGAAATGGAATGTTATTCACTCCCTAAACAGTACTTTGCAAAATTATTATATAATTCTCACATTTGATTCAATATATATATTTTCTAGAGACATAGTCCTTGCTCACACTTTCCCCAGAGAAGTTCCAATGGAAATAATGTGAATAACTCCCTAAGTAACTGATTTGCAAAATTTTAGGCAAATGCCATTCAGATTTCAAAGAAATATTTCTTGGAAGTTATAACTGATTGCATAACAATAATACTTTCCGCTGCATGGAAAGGCTCAGAGCGCAAATGTAATCACCCAGTAAGACTAGGCAATATGTAAATGAATGTTATTTATTTACATCTTTATTCTTTATCTCAAAACAATTTGTCACAAGGAATATAATTAATGTATTCTAATCTACAGCACATCATGGTAACTATAGAAGTGACAGGCTAATTATTCCAAAAACCCCAAATATGTTCAAAACATTTGGTAGATGACTACTGACAGCTGATCAGTTTTAGTACAAATAATTGACTCCTTTTATAAATGGTTGCATAAACATGTTATTATATCAATTATATTCTTGATTTCTAGTTCCAATTTCTGATCTCTGATTTTGAGGGATGAATATGAGAGTTACTCTGAATCTCAGCAAAGTGGCTTTTGTGGAAGGAAAAACTTTGAATAGACAAATAACTTATGGACTTCTAAATTATTCTTGTGAATTCCAGTAATAGTACCTTAAAAAACCCTAATTAATCAGAGTAACACACAATATCACACTGAAGGAATAACAAAATTTTACTCTTGGTTTGCCCATTTCAATACTTGTAGCTGTGATGTCATAAACGTTATTGAAAACGTCTCTGAGATTATTAGAAAGTGTCAATACCAAACAGAAATGTAACAATAGGTGACCGGTTTACTCACTACTCTCAATTATTACTTAAGATTGTAACCATGTAAAGCTAGAACTAAGCTTACAAAGTAACCTGATTCATAATGGATGCTTCTGGCTTTTCATTTTAAAGGATAATGTGGATGATACAAGGTTACAGTTAGCCTGCAAGAGTAGAAATGAATCTGAATGCGTTGTAGTTCACACATACATCCTTTTACCTCTACAATATAGGCGGACAGGTGATCGCTCCCGTAAAAACCTGCCCATTATGGAGTTCACATCTCAAGCCCCAATGCTACTACACAGGAAGGCTTTGCAAGCTGCAGGCAACAATCCGTACCAAATCTGCTCGACGCACTCCCCTATTTCTGTCTGTTGATCATTTTGAAAAAGCCACCGCTTCCAATAAGCCCATCCATCCTGCCTCTCCAAAGGCAGCGCCAGCCCTTTCATTAACATGTTTAAAAATCTTCCTGTGACATTTGCAAAATGGAAAAGAAAGCCACCCACTTAGAAGCAGCAGGACAAATGCAGCCCCCTCGTTGCAAACAACCCTAACGGCGCGGCTGCGATTCACAGAAAGAAACCACGCATCAACTGGAATAAGGAATAAAAACACACTACACACACACACACGTATATACACACAGATATGTCTATACCACCCAGCATTTTCTGCAATGAAGCAGAAGTCGGTCCTGGCACTGTACCTATGAAAGTCCTACTCCGGCTTGCTGCACTCCCTTCCTACAATAGGAAGCAAAACCGCGTCGTTCTCACTGCAGTAGCCTGGGTGTATTTTTCCCCCCCTCCCCTCTCCCCCCCCCCTCAACTGTTACAGCCTCCCACTAGCTGGGTGACCTTTGAACTGCTTTCTCCTCGCCTCGCCGTCCCTCTGCAGGCAAAGCTGCTCTGCCCGTCTTTATTTGCATAAGGCTGGCGAAGGCCTGGCAGCCGCGCCGAGGGAGGAAGCGCCCAGGCGCTGCGATGCCCTTGGAATTTTGCGGATCTCCCGCGAGGCGAAGGAGCCGCAGGCCCGCAGGGGAGGGGAAAGGCCCGCGGGCTCCCCGACCGTCCAGCAGGGCAGCAACCTACGCCGACTCGGGTTCCCCCGGGTGGTTTCCAAGGTGACCGTCCAAAAAGTCAAACCTTTTATATTCACCTCCAGGGAGGGCAGAGACGGGGCACCAGCCTCGACCCCCTCGCTCTTGGCTGGTGTAAATGCCCGGGAGCCTTTTTTTTCTTTCTTTCAAATAAGCAGCTCTTTGGATGGCTTCGTTTCAAACGCGTTTGCGTTCGGTAGGATCTTCCTGGCATCGGCTGGCGTGGCGGCGGGGGGGGGGGGGAAGGAACAGGAGCAGTCCGAATGCAAAGGAAAACGCGTGGCTCTTTATTTTCACGTTCAGGGATTCAGGCCGTAATAGCACAGCAAAACTCTGTGAATCTGCATCGTACGCAACAGGATGCCCCGGAGAGGAGGAAACACCAAATGTGTTTCTGATTAATTGTGTCTAAACGTTGCATCTGGAACTGGGTACTTTATTGGGGGCGGGGTGGGGGAGTGGTAAGTGAGGTCGTTTATTCCCTGCTTTCTCCCATTTTGCTTCCGGCAAGAAATATCAGCCCTGTTCAAAGATTCTGCTCGCCTTCTCGAGCAGATGTTAAAAAATGAATCATTTTTACTTATTAAAATTGGGAAAGATAATTCTGAGGAGACCAGGTGCCAGAGTCTCTAATCTGCTAAACTTTTGTTTTGAGAAGGCTAATCTTTCAACAAGAAATATTTAAAAAAATAATAATAATAGAGGGCTCGTTTCACTGAAAATATGTGGGGGTCTTCCTTTCTCAAAGTTAAGAGGAATTGAGAAAATGATTAAGCAAAAGAAAAATATGGAGGAGGAAATAGAGGCACAGATTCTTTTGAATGGCCTCTGGGATGTATTGAATACAGTTTCATTAAGTGGTGTATCTATCCATCACCCCTTGTGAAATATTTCACAAAAGATGGTGTTTTAGAAAAATTCTGGGCAACTTAATTAACATTCCAGGGTATTCCATTTCTCATGTAAAATAAAAAAAAAGAACATCCAGTCATCGAAACCACATGCCATCCACTCAAAATAATGAGACTGACAAGACAGCAGCGTATTAGTTTTTTTTCTGTGTTAAAATAATTGGGTGTTTCAGATTGGCTACGGATGAATTAAAAGGTTTATAATGAACAACTGTGGATCTGTAATTCTCCTGGCCACAGGAGTGTTTTGTTTTTAATATTCTCCCTCCCCATTAAGACATTGCTACACTTACCACAATTTATTTGGCTAGCCATTCAACTCCAAAAAGCCACACCTTGCTGAATTCAGAAAATGCTAACAGCTCACAATGCTACAAACCCAAATCCCGAATTACAGTCCAAACATTCACATCCCCGAATAATTGGAACAAGATTTTTTTTTTTTAAAAGACTGACCTGTTCAAGTGGTTGCGTTTCCAATCCATGCACTTTCTGTCTAATAATTATGCACCCCAATGGGCTGTCATGTTGCAAGGGTGTGACGTGTTACCTGCTCTCCTGGTTCCAGTGGAATCTTCTTAAATTTCCCAGTCTGGCGTTTTATTGCTGGTACCATATGCTTTATTGTTCAGCGACAAGAGCCACCGCTTTGCACAAAGCCTCATTACCTAGTGCTCGCCTCCCGGCTTCAGCCTCTCTGACGCTGCTGGTTTGATCACATGGGAGTTTTGCCTGATAAATCTGGGCATACAACTGAATCCCCTGCTTCCCCCCCCCCCTTCTAATCAGCTAAGATCTTCTAGGAGGAAAGAACAACAAATGATACAGCTGCTTGAAGACATTTAAGCCACACAAATTAGGGGGAATTCTTTCCCAAACCACTGTCCCTGCCCATTACAAACCTTCTTTGCAACATCCCTTAAAAAGTACAGATTCATTAGAGATTTGAGAATGTGATTAATGCCTGCTTTGTCAAGGCTAATGACCCTATCACAGTATACTATCTTTATCCTGGAGGAAATCTCCAATTATTTTTGCTATTCAAGAAGAGAAAATAAAGTGCCTCACCAATGAACTTCTTATGGTACACATTTAAATTGCTGATATTGGAGAAAGATTCAGGATGCAGGCTTTTCTCAGAAGTAATCAAAGGGACTTAATGCTGCATAAACATAATTAGACAAAAGATTAAGGGAAACTTTACTTCCTAAATCAACAAAGTCACAATTTCCCCATTTTTTTTTTGTTATGGTAATACTTTGGATGAACTAAGTCCCAGTACTTAACTTTACAAAAAATATTAAAAGTAAAATTTAATTTGCTTATCTAGCAGTCATACATCAATAGGTATTTTTGTATATATGAATTATAGAAATGAAGTTTCTGTAAATTTTGTTTTTAAGATTCAGAAGTAAAGAAGTACTTTGTTTCAGGTTTTTAAAAATTATGTTATAGATATATTAGTGATTGGTTTGGAGGACCATATTTGACAAACACTCCTCAAAAGAAAATGTGACGGAGCAAATTTGGAAATATGACATCATCTTGAGGAAAAGCAAAAAAAACCATATTATCACAGAAAATTCGAAACCCCTAATTCTTCACAGTACTTAGAGGAATTATAAATATCAACAAAATGTATTTTCCTATCTGCAAAATTGGATTAATTTGTATTAAGTTATTTAGAATAAATGAAAATAATTGCATTTTAAAAGCAGATAAAGGACCTAGGCTTATGTCATTTACTTAATAACATATTGAAAAAACTTTTCTTATACCTTTCAGTGGATAACCTATTAACATAAATAATTGCTTATTGTTTATTATGTATATAAGTAAGCTTTGCCAGTGTACTTGATAGAAAGGATACTACTGAACTCAATTCATTCAAGATTGGACTTTAATAAAGGTGGCCATTAGAAATGCAGTTTTGAAGTCCATCATGGCAGAACTGAATAATGTGAGTAGGCCTGCCATGAGATAAACTTATGCTAAGGATTATATTCATGTTTAGATTATAAAGGAAAATATTTAAAAGGCTATCATTAAAAAGATTCTCCCTTACAGTAATCACAAAACATCTTACTAAATTTGATCTGGAAAATATCTGCGTTCCTTAATTCTCTAAGCAACAGAAATAAATCAATCTGTTGACAAATTTGCTTTACATTCCAATTCTAATTAGCATTTATTTTATACTTTTATTTTAGGTACTAATTGGTTTAATTTCTACCCTGCTGATGAATATATACTATGACTTTGAGCAGCTGGTTCATGGTGAGTATATATAAGGGCAGAGATTAATGAAGCTTTCTGTGTTAATGAGAAAAACCAAGATAAATTTTAACTTGTTTATGAAGAGCTTCTTTAGCTGCCATTAATATTTTTAAAGATGGATGATGTCTTTGGATATTACATACAGAAGTAGCTGCAAAACAAATGTGAAGCAAATGTAGAAAGATGCTAAAAATGAGAACAAGAAGTGAACATGTCATCTCAGCATCCTGAGGAAAAAGAATTGAGTATTGGATGGTGGATGGATAGGTCTCTCAAATAACTTAATAAAACTTAAGTTCAAATATGTCTTCTATTTATAAAAGTTTAAGGTTTAAATCAAGAAAACCTAAATGACCTAGCAGTGAAATATGGTCCAAGAAATGTATACAGTACTATGGTCCAACTTACATAAGGTCATCATTCTCTTGGACTTCAAATTGTAGTTAAATTCAAGATCCAGTGTTTTCCCAATGGCAAGAAATTCTCTATTGGAATTAGTCAGAAAAAGAAACCTAATCCTAAAGAGGATTAAGTATGGGACAAGAATGTAACCGGAGTAAACATGTCAGACAAGCACTCTCTAGTTCACATGAAGATAAACGGAAAGATAGGGAAAGTACATGCAGACTTGCAAGATCCTGTTTATTCATTTATTTGATTTTTCCCCCCCTCATCCAACCCTTATTACTTTATAAGTAACTCCAGGGAGTGACCTTACATAATACTCCTTCCAGCTCCCGTTTTCCTCACAACCACCACCACCATGTGAGGGGGGTTGGGCTGAGAGGGACCTGCCAAAAGTCACCCAGCTGGCTTTTATGCCTAAAGCAGGACTAGAACTCCCAATCTCCTGGTTTCTAACCAACAGCTTAACCACTACACCAAAGTAGCTTTCTGATACAAATAGTATTGATCTACATGACATTGGTTTCCTAGACTGCTCTATTTTGAAAGGCTGACACAAACTCATTGAAGATAAACTAAACAATAATAAGTTATGTGCCTTGAGTCAGAAATTGGCTAAAAAGAAGTAAGAGACAATATGGATAAAAATAGATTTTTTTAAAACAGATTTTATTGATTTTCTAATACAACATTCACATATTTGAAATAGATTTTATAATGGGGGAAAGTGGAATTCCTTTAGGAGTCCATTTTGGGAGTAGTATAGGCAAATTACTAGGTGATCCACAGTCAAGGATAAGCAAAAAAAATAGGTACATTAAAACAACAACAACCGACATGTACAAACAAGAAGAATATGAAGAGGAATGTGAAGATATTCTAAACTTAAAGTAGTGTTTCTCAACCTTGCAGCTTTAAGATGTATGGACTTCAACTCCCAGAATTCTCCAGCCAAGGTTGAGAAACTCCATTCTAAACCAGAGGTCGCCAACCTTTTGGGCACCAGGAACAGGTTCCACGGAGAAAGGTTTTTCCACGGACCGGAGGGTGAGTGGTTTTGTGTGCTAACTGCATCCCACGGATGGGGCTTTGCTTGTTTGTGTGGACTGGTTGCTGGCATGCCACAGCCCAGTACTGATCCACGGACTGGCGGTTGGGGACCCCTGTTCTAAAGGATAATTCCAAGTGGGCAAATACGAAACAAAAACGTGAATGAAAGTCAGACAAGGGGATCTAGCATTTCCTTCTTCTACCAGTAGCATCCTCTGAGTGCAGTTCTCAGGTTCCTGCCAATGGAAAGGGAAGATGTCAGAGACCATTTCTCTCCACTGACCCATCTCCTGAAACCCCCTAGGACCAGCTCTCCTAGATCTGAGGAATCTTAGAGCTGGAAACAAAACAACTGAGGAGGGAATTAAAAGATCTTTTCAGAATGATGGACTAGGTGGATAAAGCGGACAGAAATTTTTATTTCTCTCTCATAAAACTCAAGGTCAAGGTCAGCAAGCCTGCTTCTAGGTAGAAACACTTCATGTTACCAGTCAAAAGTTCTTGCACAGCTATTCTGTATTTCCCTCTTTGACATATAATGTTTGGGAAAATTTTCCTCTTTGGCATATAATGTTTGAGGATGGAGGAACGAGTAAAAAAACAAACAAGAGTTACTAAGGCAACAATAAATTCTTCCCCATAACCAACTTATATGCAATCTACCAGTCCTTCATTTGCTTTCCCTGCTGGCAATCTCTCTGTCTTTCTCTATAGGCAACACACACACACACACACACACACACACACACAAATACACATTTATATTTATTGAGTAATATATGTAGATAAATATAGATATTGTATACACACACACACATACTGTATATATACAGATGTATATATATGTGTTTGTGTTTGTGTGTATATGTATAAATATATGTGTGTGTATAATTTTGTGCCTTTATAAATTTAAAGATTTTAATAGTAATATTAATACTTGTCAGTATATAATTGTTTTTATCTTTGTACACTGTCCCAGGTCACCTGTCAGTGAGATGAGCAACTATATAAATATGACTAAATAAATAAATAAATAAATAAATAAATGGTTGGCTGGCTGGCTGGAGATATTAGAGACCGTGTTGGTGAATCCCCCCAGCCTAGTTTCTCTCGCCTTCCATCCACTATGACAGTGATGGTGAACCTTTTAGACACTGAGTGCCCAAAAACCAGCCCATCCCCTGGCCCGGTCCCTCCTCCTGCCCGGCCGCAGGGCCACCTACTGCCTCCATGGTCCACCACAGCAGATCACCCAGGCGGCCCTGCAGCGCCATGTTGGCCACGCCCACCACCTGCACACCGCAGTATCATCTGCGCGTGACAATGCACGAGGGCGGAGTCTTGTCTCTGCTGCCTAGCTGCCATGTCCTTGGCTGCGCTGCTCTGTGCGGGCCATGCCCGGAGGTGACTCTCCTCCAGGAGGGCTGCTGGTGAGGAGGGGGCCACAGGGGAAGGCGGGGCTGGGGCAACGGCGCACATGCCCACAGAGACGGCTCTGAGTGCCACCTCTGGCACGCATGCCATGGGTTCCCCACCACTGCACTATGACGAAACACTGGAAGAACATCCTCCAATCAAACTCCTTAACTTGGAAGGATGCTGGGATTGGAGGAAAGGGCAGGTTTTGAAAGATAGCTATGCTAGCAGATTTAGTGCAAGGGATTTACATTGGTGAATTCAAAGAGGCAGAGTAAGCCCGTGACTAAAAAGAGTCTGGGAATCAATTTTAGTTTGGCATATGTGTTTTTCCCACTTGTATTCAAGGGAAGCCTGATCACCTTCTATATCCAAAAGGATTATCAATTCTAGATATCAATTCCAGAAGAGCAGTGAAATCACATTCAAAAACTATATGTTGATACAGGTGTCCAATCTGGCAACTAGCTTGGAGGCATAGTGGATATGGGGAAGGAGCCAGTTGATTAAAAAAAAAAAAAGACTTTTCCAGTGTTCAAGAAGAGAAGGGGTCATGTGCATCCCAGCATAACGTGGTCAGTAACTGCTAGGCTGATATCACTCCTTAAGAGTCACCTGACTGTGATATTAATCAAATGGTCTGTGACACATATCAGATTGCATCCATAAAACTCCCATGCATTTTGGCTAGCTTAAAGTAGAACAATGTATTTGTACTTTAACAATGGAACGGCCAAGTATTATTTTAAGCTTCCTCAGATATGGATTGTGAATGAGTTGCAGGAAACATCATGAGTTTATGGCAGGAAATTGGTTTCCTGGCATGTTTGTGCCATGTTTTAATGCAAGAGGGAAAGAGGACTGGGTTTCATGTACAGTTCTGTGGATTAGGCACAAAACAACTGCACCATAAAAGCATTATTTGAAGGTACCCTAGTGAAGGTCCATAAAAAAAATGAAGATCAGCATGTCTTAAACGTATGAAGTTTGCCATTTCAAAAATGGGAGTGGATGCAAGCTAAAAAGGTTGGGAGACATCTGCTGAAAGATTAAATCAGTGTTTCCCAAACTTGACAATTTTAAGGCATGAGGACTTCAACTCCCAGAATTCCACATGCCTTAAAATTGTCAAGTTTGGGAAACACTGTAAATGAAAGAAAATGTGAATACATTTTCAAGCAGTTCTTTCAAGCAGTTATTAAGTAGCCAGTTCATTATTTCAGTTCCTTGTTTTGAAGGTGTTTCATGAATGCATTTCTCTTCCAGTAACAAATTACAGATGTGTGCAAAACATGTAAACCAGAGACGCATCATTGGGAAACCACGCCCATCCCATTGCCGGCAATGGCGAAAAAGCTCTGATACGTTGCGCAATGTCATGTGACGTCACGAGTTTGACATGTCTGATGTAAACCAATGAGTTGAAATATTCTTCTACCCTCCACTCCACATATCCTTACCTCCCTCAATCCATCTGCAAAAGAAATCCAGTATATGAGTGGTCATTGCTTAGACCTGTCCTGAAATGAATGTCTTACGAGGCTCGTTTGGCCTTCTTGTATCTGTCAAAAAACAATGCTGTGGATGCTCAGGTTTTCTGAAGCGTCAAGCTGGGAAGGGAGCCAGTTAATGAAAAATTGTGAGTTAGTTGACTGAAAGGCCCAGTCAGCTCACCTTGATTGCCAATTCACTCAGCTTCCTCCATCCAGCTGCCCAGCACATCTTATTAAGTGAAGGAAAGCCATCACAGCCTCCCATAGTTGTGATAGCCAAGAATAGTTTCATTCCCTCCAACCAGCAGTTGTAGCACAAAAAGTGGAAAGGGGTGGACAAATCTGGAAGCCATAGCATCACCCAATAGTCCTCGACTTACAACAATTCATTTAGCGACCATTCAAGGTTACAACAGCCCTGGAAAAAAGTAACTTATGTCCGTTTTTCACACTTAACGACTGTGGCAGCATCCCCATGGTCATGTGATCAGAATTCAGATGCTTGGCAACTGACTCATATTTATGACGGTTTCAGTGATTCCAGGATTATGTGATCACCTTTTGCAACCTGACAAGCAAAGTCAATGGGGAAGCCAGATTCACGTAACGTTCATGTTGCTAATTTAACAACTCCAATGATTCCCTTAAGAAAGGTCGTAAAATGGGACAAAATTCACTTAACAAATGTCTCCCTTAGCAACATAAAATGTGGCTCAATTGTGGCCATAAATTAAAGACTACCTGTAATAGGCCGGCCATTAAACAAAAGTAGGTTTGTCCTGATTTCTTCAAAAAGCAATCCACAAAGACCAGTGCTAAAACAGAAGAGGGGAGCCCTTGTAATTCTCCAAATAACCCTGGAGTAAAACTCCCAGAATCCACCACCATTTGCCCTAATTATTCTAACGGGGACTGCTAGAAATTGTCATTTAGTAGCTGGAGAATCACAACTCAAGGGCTAAACAAGATCCCCATCCTTGCAAGGAGGAAACCCCAGTTTTAATCCCTGGCAACACTTTTTTTTTAAACAAAATATTTTTTATTAATTCTTTTTACATAACCACCTTAATATTTGGTAAACATTGTGTTGTCTGGGTTTAATCCCTGGCAACTCTAGTAAGATTGGGAACCCTCCGGTCTGATAACAGAATTGCTGTTGGGATAGCAGGATAAATGATCAGACTTTGTGTAAGGCGGCTTCCTAGGTCTGAATGGTCTTATAGTACTATGATGGTATTCCTACAGACATCTGCCACTAGTAATCACAGTCAATGTGAATGCACTATTTGGAAGAAGCATCGCAATACAAAAATTGTGCTAAGTATGCTACAAAGCATTGTCCGGAAAGGCAGGTAAAATTCAATTAGATTGTCATAAATACTCAGTTTTGTGCACAGCACACAGGAAAGTCCAATAAATTCAGTGTGATAAAATCTAGAAAGACTTCTCTGTATTGCTATGCAAGTCTTTCTAATGTGGCCTGTTCCTTATCATTTAATTTTAGATAGATAATTTTAGATAGAAAACAATGTGCAACAGCTGAAGACACGTACCCGGACACTGCCTAGTGGTAATAATAAATGCCACTGGGGAGCAAGAATAGTTGCAGATTCTGTTTATGAAGTCACAGCTGATTCATTGTTTTAGCTGTGTCACTACTGTGCAAAATAATTAGGGCGTAATGCCCCCATCTGCTGTATACCATATTTCATCCTGGCACATTGGCATCTATATTCTTCTCTTGCATCAAATTGCTGCAAAGGATATCACTTCAGGAATTGGCTTCTCCTTGTCATGATGCACAAGTGATAAGTAACTTCAAGAGGAGCTGTTTCTCTGGTAAGAAGGCAATAGCAAAAGGCTGTAACTCTCAGCATTCATCAATTTACAGGATTTAAGCAGAGAACATACCCATTTGTCACATTCAGTGACAGAGCTGCGTATATCTTTGCAGTGTTACCGTTTACATATTTCACATTGGTTTTTTTTTGGGGGGGGGGCGTTCTCCCTTC